CTTTCGGGTAAAATCAGTATCTCGGGAACCACGGAAGGAAGAAGGCTGAAATTTTGTGAGCATGTCCCCCCGCCATGTGCTACCCAGAAAATTTAAATTCAGCTTTTCCGTGCCCGCGAGTAACAAGTACGGCCCCGTGAAAATTTTTGACGAGTAAATTGTAATCTCGGGAATCACGGAGTCTAGGAAGCTGAAATTTTAGGGTAATGACTCCCTGGCCACGCTCAACCTTGTCTGTTCAAATTCAGCGTCCCCGCGCTCTCGGGTATCACCTACGGCCACGTGGCAGGTAAACTATTAACTCGGAAATCACGGAAAGATGTTTCGAATTCAGCTTTCATGCGCAGGTGCGTGAAATTTCTATTTTTCAATATCTCAACTATTTTGGCATAAACTAAAGTACAAAGCAGTGAAAATCATTAATAGATAATCGTTCGATGGGCTGAACTGCACAAAACGCATGATCGCACCGGCTAGTCTGGTGCGCGCTGCTATTTATTCACATCAATTCGATGCACTGCAGAACAACCCATCTCCGTACAGAATTGGAATCTTCTAATTCTGCAAAATTCTCACTTGATGCTCTCGAGAATTCGATCAAATTTATTATCGAATCACAAAAAGCTCACCGTAATCAAATGTCAGAGCTGCTTCCGTCTCTTTTGCTACAGCCGGCATCGATTCATTCTAAAATAAAAACTTCTAAATTCTGAAAGTCAGAAGTACGGCGAACGGACTGCAACACATCATTTGTTTGTTACATCGTGTGCAGCAAAGTAGCACAGCAGGGGAAAGTGCGCAGAAAGAAGGAAATGAAGATGGAAGAGAAAGCAGGTTTCTGGATAATTTTGCATTTTTTTTTGCAAATTTTATTTTGTAATTAAAATGTATAAGATGAAAACAAAAAGGTAACATAAATGCTGGAAAAAAAAATAAAAATTCTCAGGTTTCTGTATGTAAACTGTTTAGAAATCTATTATTTCATTGTCACTGTGAACAACAACATTGCAGCACATTAGAGGTATACAGAAAGAGAAGTCAAGCTGCGCTTTAACAGTGAAATTCATGCAAACCCATAGCAATGCAGTGCCCCGATAACGCAAATTAATGTTGTGATTGTTCACAGAACAGCTCAGTTTTTTTTTTTTTTCACAAAAAATACATGTAACTAAAAGACCTGAATTATCCACGTGCCGTATTTTAATGAAAATTTCACGTTTTTGTGTTTAAATTAACCTATGGCAGTTCGTAAGTTGAATTCTAAGGAATTTTTGGATTTTGATCAAGATTTTATCAATTCTAGAAACACTGGCTTGCGACTTCGTCCATTTTTCGTAGTGTAAACAGTAGAAATACGAAATGTTTTGCCGATGAATGTTGTGCTTGCTTACTTTGTGATGAAGACTGGAAATACTATTAATAGTCTCGACCTGATGTCCCTCCTACAGAAGCTCTATAAGATACTGCATTAATTCGCCACTGTACTCCTTTCTTGAGAAAATGCAAGAGATGTGCACGCACGCCTTATTTTATAAATTATTGGCGACGTGCACTGGGCAGGCCTGTGCGATCATGCGTTTTTGCAGTATTTCGTGTTGTTATAGGATCGATTGGAGTCTCCGTAGCTAAAATTTATGGCATATTGGTCTTCGAACTTCAGGAAATTAATTGTGCAATTGCATGGTACCTGGTCAAGGAACATCCCCTCAAAATTTCAGCATTCTGTCTTTTCTTGTCTTCGAATTAGTAATTTTCTTACCAAAAATTTTCGCGGCACCGTATGTGAGGACCAAAAATACCTTGGTGCTGAATTTGGAAACTTTAAGTTCCACGTGGGCTGGAAACATTCCCTTAAAGTTCCAACTTCTCAACTTTCCTGGTTCCCAAGTTAGCGATTTTCCCGCTAAAAACTTATACAGGGCCGTACGTGAGAACCACATACATCTAGAGGCAGAATCTGAAATCTTCGAGTTCTATGTAGACCGGAAACACAATCACAAAATTTCAGCTTTTTAGCTTTTCTGGTTTCAATTTAGCGATTTTCTCGCTCAAAATTTCACGCACTCCTACGCGGGCCTAGACGTGCGTAAGAGTTAGTATCACGGTTCTGGAGTAGAACTTGGTCGGGAAACCCACTGGCAAAGTGTCAACGCCGGAGCTTACTTGGGTGCCGAATTGAAATACCCGGACAGACGCACACAAACACACACACCGAGGTCGTCACAATATGCATTTTCACATTTGCATATATGCAAAAACTCATAATAAATATAGTGAATTATTTCAAAATTTATGAGTTCCACAAACAGCAAAATGTTTCTACTTCTTCCAGCACTTATGTTATCCAGTTACGTGTTTACCTTACGTACATTTTTGAAGCACCAGTTTTTAAAAAACCACTGAAAACACATAATAATTTACACAATGGGAAAGCAAAATTAAACTCATAAGCATAAGATAATCTTTAAAAGATTTCTTTGGATTTTGTACGAGCTAGTTTGCGCAGATAGTTTGCAAGAGAAGCGACAAATACAAGACCGATAAAACTGATAAGAGTAAACTCTGACAGAAAACCGACGAAACCGATTAGAGTATATTCTGATTAATATTAAAATTTGCAAAAAATAAAACTATGCTTTAAAACGGAACAAAAGAAAATTATTACATTTGTCGACGGCGGTTTCACATTTGTTTCAGTTTTGGGCATTACAATTTGATCTTCCTTGCAAGATTTGGCTTCGGATTTGTCCTCGTCTTAAAAGAAAGAAAAATATAATCTTTTTCGAGAATATCGAGGAATTAATCTTTGGCTTGAAAGTATCCGAAATTATGAGAAGTGCTCACTTTTGTCGATACTTTCTGCTGAAGCATGCACAGCGATCGTGCCACCATCTTCGGCTTTTATTTCCTTGACTTCCTCGATTTCCTCCTCTTTCTTTACGATGGGTCCAGCGCTGGTCCCTTCTTTCACACCATCAGAACTGCTGCTTATCTCC